TGTATGTATGTATGTATGTATATGCCATTACATCACTGACATGACACTACAATATAACATGACATCACATTACGTTTCCTTACATGCATACGTTGCATACGTACATACATTCCTCTGTTGTCTCCAGACCTCAGAGCTGCGAGCTCCGCCTCACAGCAGGCCCTCATTTTTGAAGCAATGGCCTCTGTCCGGGGCACGAGCAGAGACGGTGAGACAACGCTGGTGCACCGGCGCCGCTCTCAAAGGGGCTGCATGGAAGGGCCCTTCCAAAGCACCTTCATGCATGGATTAACTGGACTGCACCTGCGTGCCCGTCATTCTGTGTATTTCCGTCGCGCAGCATGGCAGAATGCAGCCTCGCCATCGACTACCAGCGGGCCAAGCCAGCTGCCCGTGATCTCAGCGACCTTCCGTGTTTTGGCTGACTCAGCTCGCAGTCTGCAAATAAGGCACAGGCTCTCCAGATCTCGTGCAGATCAGGACCCCTAGCTTCCACTCAGGACATCTAGAGCTGCCAATCCAGTATCGCCAGGAACCTCAGCCCTCAGCTGAGAAAGCTCACTACAGGTATGTGACAACCAGACCTGGCAAGAGCCGATCGAGATGCCTGGAACACAACCCGGCACTGGCGCAGCAACGAAGTTTCGAAGTGAATCGAGAACATCTGCAGGACTTCGTGTCCCAGCGATAGTTTCCCCATACTCGGACACATCGTGACGGGTAACCCCTCCCAGCTCGCAAATGCCCTGTCATGGCCTGACTGCCAGCTGCATTTCGGAGAGAACCTCGAAGGCTATCCTGCATCAAAGTCGGCATCCACTCAATGAGCTCATCAGCACGAGATGGGGAAGTCTCTGAGGCACGGAAATCATGAATGAGGTATGGGTGTCCTCGGCTCCGCTCGATTCGGTGTCGAAGACCAGTGCACACTGCAAGGCCAGGAGAAAACCACATTGCTGAATCTTGGCTCTTCGGAAGGCTTCAAATGCATTTCAAGCTCATCGGCGCTTCCCATCCAGAAAGTCCCCGAGCCTCTAAGCCTGCCGAATCATCGAAGAAGCGCGCGGTGCCTTGCCATCGAAGCTACATCTCAACAGTGAGGGGCCATCACAAGCTCAAGTGCCATGCACCAGGCCTAGCCACTCGTAGATGGAGCCAGGTCCAAATGTCCAGCAACTCAGAGGACAATGCAAATGCCCGATGCTGCATTTCAGTAAGCTTCTCTGGTTTATACCATTGAATTGTACTAGCTCAGAGGCCAGGACCTTGGCCTCACTCGGAGCGATGGTCGAGTGAAGCGCACCGACGATGCAGCACTGGAGGGCAGAAAAAACGCTAACACAAGCGGTGTATGCGATTGAATTCATCTTCGGCTGTGTTCCTGCTTCGTTAGCACAACAGCATTCATAGCACAGCGGCAGCGGCCACTCTTGCACTCACATAGGGCATGCACCTTCCAGGCGCAGCAAACTCAACCTGAGCCGGAAAACGATCCAGGCTCTGCAGAGCTGGAATGTCCAACCGTTACGTGCAGTTATGTCTATGTGGACGGCATGCAGATGAAGACTAGAACAGTGCCACAACCAAAGACCGGCCCCTATTCCTGGCACATCTAGAAGGGAACAGAAAGTTGCCTTTGCGTGTCTCTCGGAACTTGGGCACGCATCAATGTCGTTGGCATTGCTTGCACGCATCAGTCTACGGTATGGCTCTTGCTGCGTTTTAGCCCCTTTGGCCTCCTAATCTCAAAGGTCAGCCAGACACCTTCCCACCGACAGAGCCGCCCCGAACGCCGGCACTCCTTTCTGCACCCGGGGTCTGCTGACCCGGAGAACCGCAAACCGGAGGCCTCTGTGTTTGGTTCTTTGCAACAGAACAGGTCGAATGACTTCAGGTTGCTGAAACTCACTGTATCCAGGACACAGTTGTGAAGCCCTTGTCGGTGAAGCAGAAACTGCCGGGAAGCTGGACTTCGCACGATACCTGGCATGGCAAGAAATCGACAAATATGCTTTCGCCAAAGGCTGATTCCTCCCAAAGGCCTCATCTGCACCGTAGACTCGAAATCCACAGCCGCTTCTCCCTGTCACCTGTCTGCCGGCTTGCTTTGCACGTCCTGGGAGGTCAAACTGATGGTGCGGAGCCTCGAATGCGGCTCGCCGCGGCACTTGAAGTCCGGGAGCTGCTTGACAGTCCACCTATGATGCAATGTAGCACATGCCGCAAGGAAAGCGGGTCTTCACATCTCCAAGGTCCGAGCATCCAGGGAGGCCGTGCAATCATCAGGCAGGACTGCAGACTGCCTGCTCAGTTTTGAGGACAGTGGCAAGCCACCTTTCTGCCATGATGCTTTAAAACTCAAACGTGAGTTCGACGAGTCTGTTCGGATCGAAACATCCGAAGTTTTCGAACAAGCTCATAAATCAGCGCCCCCGTATGCAGCTTTGATGAGGAGTGCCGGCCTTCCAGAGCAACAGCCCAAGTCCTAGCAAATCACCAATCCAGACTGAGAGGCTGCAGGAAGCTGCGGTGAGCCTCTGACCGGTCAAGACATTGCAGACCACACAGTTGTCCAAACGCGTCAGATGCACCACCCATGGCAGGTAGGGATAACCCGCCGCAGCCAGATGCAAACCAGCAACCTTGTGGGAAGTTCGGCACTTGTTCAACCGTTTTGTGTAGCATTCCCTCTGCTGATGTTGAAGCCTCAGCAACACCGCCACTGCCAGCACCACGCTCGACACCGTGCAGCTGAGATGCCATGAATGCGATGACGAGAAGCAGCCTGTCCCGCGCCTGGTCCAAGGATCCTGACATGGCTAGAGAGACAATGGAGAACTCCCGACGGGAGTGCCTAAAGCACTCTATTTAAACTGTCTTGACATGCTTTCAACGGAAGCATCCCACGGCTTCCAATGTGTTGTAGCCGAGCTTTTGTGTAACGGCAAGCGAGCAGGACCTAGCAAAAGTCCTTCATAATTTGTAATCATGCCATGTAACCCATGGATCATATTTCTCAACCCTCACGACTCCCTGCCTGCGGTTCGTCACGAACACCGCACACTCAACAAAAAATCCACGCCCGGATGCCCGGATGAAACCCCATGGCCTGACCTTCCTTCAAGCCTCCAAACTTCAAGACAAACACGGTGACATGCAACCACAGCATACGTGGAGAAAACCCCTGGGCCCAGCCTAAACACTCCCTCGGAAAAAACCCCTAGCAAGAGAAAGACTGGTTGCCTGACCCCCTGCATTTCATCCAGGTATAAGCAACGGGGATCTGACAAGTGCGTGCAGGTCTTGCCCGATGCCAGAGATCCAAGAAACAACACAGCATAGCTGGCACAGCACAGCATTTCAGCTTTAGCAAAGCCAACATTGAGGATGATTACTCCCTGAATCGCGGAAATCAAGAAATGCGTCCCGCCTGCACCCGTCAAGAACTTGGAAGCAAAAGCCCAGCGCGATGAGTAGCGCTGCGCGAAATCTCCACCAGCCTCAAGGTTGACCATTCGCTTGGCCGAGGTGCGCTTTCGCAGGGCTCCACATCAACAATCATCAACACCACATGCCATGCCCATGCCTGCGGCAACAGCCCATTGGGTCTGGATGACAAGCGGGCCTGCAGTGCAGTGCAAGCGTTGAGCATTGAAAGAACTTGTCATCAACTGCTCCGAAAGCGGAACTTACTCCACTGTCGGGCACCTCTCGCCCACCCCAAGCTGCTTCCCACAGCATCCTTCGGCGGATTCGACAGCTCTCGGCGTGTCTGAGAAAATCGACAATGAAAACATCCGCTCCAGAACTGTCTGAGACGCAGACCCCTGCAGAATCTCTGCAGACCTCAGCCAGCCCAACACACCTACACAACGGACCCCACAGAATACAAAACGTTTTCAGGGTGGCGACATAGCACTTCGCTCCATTTCTGCAGGGGCGTGCAGAGCACCTGAACCAACACAATCCAAGCAATCCGCCATTCGCAAATGATCACAGTCAAGAAGCCGGCTACAAAATTCGAGAAGGGCAAAACAACACAATATCAATGTTCAAAACTTGCCCAAGAAACTCTTGGCTTCACTGATCAGATCTGGACACCCTTATTCCGGCCATTGCACTTCCGGCACCTGACGCCGCCCGGCGGAATGGACGGAGCATCTGCGGAAGCACGTGCTGTTCAGCAAGGCTTCCGCATGGCGACCTGCCTTGAGCCTTCGGGAATCGAGTTCAAAAGGCTCCTTGCCTCTGGGCCTCTGGGAACTGGTCGGTGCCCAAGTCCCAAGCTCCTGGCCTGGAGCTGCAAGCTGTCTTTGAGCATGCCACCAGTCCTGACAAGGTCTCTGGTGCAGACCAGGCTACCCCCCAAAAAGCTCCCTATGCCACTGCAAGTGAGACTTCAACAGTTCATTACACCCTGACAGGAGCTGTGATCTGTTCGCACATATCGGTGACGTGCCAAAAGACAGCCACTCAAACTACGCTGGCCAGGCTCCCGGCGACCCCAGGCTTCCACTGAAGCTCCGCTGCATCCTGCACATGGGGCCCCTTCCGCGCCACACTCCAAAGACTTCTAGCTCCAGCCTACTCGGCTGCGTCTTCGTGCTGCCGGCGCCGGCGTTCCTGCAGGTCTTTCCAGCATACAATATGTCACGCTGCACCATATATATATATATATTTATATTTATTTATTTATTTATATATTTATATATTTATATATTATTTATTTATTTATATTTAAATTTATATTTATACTTATACTTATATTTACATTAACAGTTAATAAATATTATATATATATATATTATTATATATTTATATTTATAAATACACATACACATATACATATACATATACATATACTTAAAAGCATATATGTAATATACACACTTGCAATCACAGGCATGTTCACCGACCTCGCCGCAGAGAGCTGACACCACTCCCGCAAACCAGCCTCAGAATGTTAAACGCTCCTCCACGGGCCACCGTGGCGTGACCGTGCATGCAAAGTGTAGGCCCCCGCAGCCCAGGCAGCCCCGCAGCTCTGCACCGTGCACTGAGCATGCTGCCAGCGACGACACGCGCTGCACAGCCAACTCCTCTTGCACCTTCAGAACCAAAGGCAGGTGACATGAAGTGCCTCTTTTGCAGTAACTTGTGCATTGCAAGCTGTGAGTTTGGGAGCATACCGGCCTTCATCGGTGCCCACGGCATCAGGGGTAGCGCACACAGCCACCAAACGAGACCTGGACGGACCCAAGGCATGGCAAGTGCGACACACTCACTTCGCAGCTGTCACTCTCGGCTAGCTGCATGAGCCCTCCGCTTGCTGCTGGACCGCAAAGCCTGCCCGAGAGTGCACTTTAATGCTCCTGCCCCGCGCCCCTTGTGGGGAGTGGCCTTCGAAACCCTGCACGTCTGCGCGACCCCTGCCTTTGGAAGGAGGCCTTGGAAAGCTTGGAAAGCGACTCAGCATTGCTCAGCTCCAAACTCTTCCAGGCCCCTCCAGGCTCCCAGGCTCCTCCACACAAAGCAGGAGCCGCGCCTCAGAGGCCACAAGGTCTCCAGCTCCTCACTTCTCTCTCACACGGGGTCCCCGGCCGCAGGCTGGTCGCTGCGACTCCACCTGCAGCCGCTTTCGCTCTTACACACATTCGCACCTCTGACTCTTGAAGATTCTTCTCGTTCGCCTTCTTCGGAGGTCCAGCTTGAAGGTCCAGCCTGTAGCTGTCGCATGTTCATTCGAGCCCTGTCACCATTCACGCAGTTCCAGACAAAACCCGGAGTCAATGGGCTCGCAGATGCACAATAGTGACAGTTTCAAGTTCACATGTGAGGCACGGGGCTGAAACATAGGCTTCTTGAGAAGGGTCCTAAACAAAGGATGTACAGGATGTAGGGAAAGAGTTCTAAATACAGGAAGAGCCAGTGGGAGTGAAGAAGACCAGGTGCTCCCAGAGCTCACGGCCGAAAGGCCCGTGGAATGCCAGCTGAACCACCTCGCGCTGACATGGCACCGACCAATCGAAGCTCCGGTCACACGTGAGCTAATGGAGCCTTTTCCGGCTACGGCTGAAGGTGAAAGTGAAAGAGAGAATGCCAAGCCTCATCTCGACTTGGCAGAAGCCTGGACATTGAGCAAATGCAGAAGCTCTGGCAGAACTGCTTGGAAAGGCCTCGGGCCTAGAGTTACACTTTAGCCTGGCTGGGAACAACTGCTCATTGCCGGCCAACAATGAACTCATGCTTGCCTCCATTGCAGATAGAATTCGCTGAGATGTCCCTCGTTAAGGCTGCTGCGACAGCGTCCTGGCATAGGCATGACCAGGCAGCCACTCCTGCAGCCGCCAGCTGTCTGCAAGGGCCTCTCGGGATGGTCGAGCGTTATCTGCACGGACTGCTCCAATGTCTGTTGAGCTCCTGTTGCAATTCTTGCACTTTTCCAGCGCTGGGAAGCCGCTTGACTCATTCAGGTTCAGGCTCCTCTGGCCTGGGTGCACCCCTGCGGCGTGCTTGCAAGTGGAGATCGAGTAGACGCTCGCGCTCGACAGCATCTGCGGTCTCGGCGCGTGTCATTTCACTATGCGGTGCCACAACCGGCCGCTGGTCTCGATGGAGCTGCGGCCATAAGGACCGAGCAGGTTCGAAGAGGTCTCCCGCTCTCGCTTGGCACAAGCCCCAGTCACCTCTTGCCAGTTCCCCAAGCAGCTGTGTCCGCTGCCATCGCGCCTCACCCCAGAAAACCTTGAGAGGTCTCGTAGCGACAGCAGCCTCCCTTTCAAGTTGCTGTGGCTGCGAGGGGTCGTGATTCTGTTCTGCATGATCAGCTGCCCCTCTCAGAATTTGTTCGGCTGCCATACCGACAACCATGTCAGCAGCATCGAAAGCTGAAACAGCATCGGCCTCATCTTCCGACGAGTCATCAGGAGGAGGCGTAGCCGCAAGTTCGCCAGCATTCCCACCCCAGAAATCGAACGGGTCAGCAGATTGCTCCTCGTCCTCTGTGTCTATTGCTTCCTCCAGATCTGAGTCGTCTGCATGGAGGGGCCTCAGCTGGCCGTCGCCATCGTGGGCCTCGCCTTCTTGGCCAAGCCTTCGCACCTTTCTTGGAGGCCCTTCTTCCAGAGTCTCTTCTGGCCTCTCCGCGGACCAGCCTGACCAGCCGCGAGCACTGGCTAAGGCGCGCAGGGCAGCGACAAGATCGGTGCCCACGGCAACATGAAGATCGCCAAGCAGCTTGAATCCCGAAGGCAGGGGCGGCAGGACACCATCAGGCTCCCCGACTGGGAGAAAAACGTGACATTGGAAGGCGGCACATGGACCGCCCAGATAATGCTCCAACTGCACAGATGGACTTCCAGAAAGCCTTGCCGCTCGCATAGTTTTTCGCATCCTTGCCTGCACCGCGCTGGGCAGGTCGTCCGACGAGATGCGATTGCTTAAATTAACCGCTCGGATGCTGTCATCACTAGCATCTCCACCAGGACCAATTCGCTGAAGCGTTACATCCACAGGCAGCTGGATCGAAGTCAAGGCTGCGAACAAACGCGATGCGCGAGATCGGCTTGAGTGAGCTTGATCACTGACCGCTCGGACCCAAGCAGCCCCTCTCCTTGAAGAGGGCGCTGAAACGGCTTCTGCACTGCTTTCCCCGGATCTGCATGCTTCTGGCGGAAGGTGAGACAGCGGCCCGTCACTCAGCACCTGATATTGTCGGCCTTGTACCTCAATGTGCCCGGAACCGTCCAGATTTTGAAGAACCGCGGTTCGGTTCGCTTCGTCGGGAATGCTCAGAACCAGCTGCTTGGCTCCGCAATAGTAGATTAAGTACACGCCCCGGCACCAGTGCACCAGGTTCGAGATGCTTGCGCGATCCAAGCCTGCATGGATCCGTGCCCTCAGGGCGGCCGACCATGACTCGGACGAGCAGATGAGGCATCGCTCCTGGTCACACTTCACACAAAAGTCCTAGAGTGTGAGAGCAGAAATCTGCAAGCCAAGTTCGAACGCACTGTTCCTGGACCGAGGCTGCCAGTTCTGCACCCGTGAAGCTCATCATCATCTCGTGGCGCGAAGGAAGTGGACACGAAAAGCGCTGCGTGCAAACACTGCAATGCGTCATCCGGCGATCCTATTGGCAGGCAACGGCATCAATGTCCACTCTTCAATCCCATTAGGCACACCAGAAAAAGAACAGGGCCCTCGCGAATACACTACGCCTACGCTGTCGACGCGAAGCCATCCTCATGATGAGACCTGTCTGCGTCCTCGTGGTAGAAAGCTGGATGCGTAGGTTGCGTAACCAGAATAGAGCGTTGCCAGCGCCGCAGACACTCCAAATGCACCCAGCGCTGGCCACCTAGGTTCAAGCGAAGCAGAACCCGTCGCGAGGGGCTGCAGGTCTGAAAGCCACTTAGCGGCCACGGCAGCTGCAGGGGGCCACGAAGACTGTGTCGTCGGCATCGCCGCCGAGGCAGAAGCGACACCTGCGACAATCCAGGGCTTTGTTTGCTCCCACATCGCAAGCCTGCATTAAAATATATTAAAATACAAGAGGATCCAACAAGCACAAAGGCAACATCTCAACAAAACGCCCTCTTGGCGTCTCCACCAGCGTGCACCCGAGCGGCTGCTTATCCCCATGTTCCAGCTCCGCCTCATGCTCTTCAGCTTCCGCCATGATGCGTTCGCACAGCACCGCAAGAAGATGCAAGAATGCTCGAGAGGCCCGGTCTTCGTCTAGTGTGGGAGGTGGCTGGCAGTCGCGTGGGATTCTTGGAAGAAGTACACGATAGTCATGCAACAAGGTTCAAACTCCAAGCTCAGTTGAAGAGGCACGCAGCAAGTTTTCCATGAACTTGCAGGTTCAGCATCTGGAGAGACTTCAGGTGGAGCCTTCTGTATCCAATCTTTGGCCCTTTCGGCCTCCGACCCCTCAGCGAGCCTCGCGGACCTCCTCTCCAGTGCCGGAAACACGCACTGCAGCAGCCAGGACGGGGAGCTCTGCACCTGCCAACTTCGACGCAGTAAGACTTAGTACTTGCTGCGACCATTCCGAAGATGTTATGGCACCAGGCGGCCTCGCCCCCATGAGCACGAGTACAGCACCAGCCCGAGGGGTAGCAGCATGAGGAAGCTGGCCTAAGGCTAGGAAGCAATGTTCTCTTTATCTTCTGGATTCCTTGCATCAGCTGCGCGTTCGTGCTCGAACCTAGGGAAAGTTAACATTGCATATCCTTTGCAGCACCCCATCGGCTCCGATTCTGGACTTACGTCGAACATGTGACGGACACCTCCAACCTAGATACACAAGAAGCGAACGGGCTGCCCGACCAACGAACTTGCGAAGCACCTGCCACGTTCATCTGCAAGCATTGACATCGGGCCAGAATCGAGAGAGTTTACCGGTGAAACCTAGAGGCACCACCCCTTGATCAATCTAAAATGCAAAGTTGCTTGTTGCTTCCACCCACCGACCAAAGTCTCAGGCATCAGCACTCCAGGTTAAAACGCATCTTCGAGCAAACTTAAACTACCCGGGCTGCTGCGCATGCTGCGCACAAGCAGTTGCGGTACCTTGTGGCGCAAAAGCTGAGTACGAACACGGCTGTCGAGAGAAGGCTCCCCAACCTGCGACCAAATGCACCGGGACGGGTGTGTCAAAGTCGAACTCCGGCCATGCCGGAGCCTGCGAAGGTCCAAGGCGGCGAACTTTGCCTCAGTGGCACGGAAAAGTTATCCCACGACACTGTTTCATTCAACTTCCACATCTAAGTCACAGGCACCTCGATGGCCTGAAGAGCCTCAGTCACAGAGGAGAACTCCGATGCGGCTTCGTGTCAGCATCCACCACCTGCCAGTGTAATCAGCTGGAAGCGCGGCGGCGCTGCAGAATTCGAACTCCGTGACGCAACTCACGCCTCAAAGAGCATCACACGAGGCCCGGAAGACTCCGGACTAGCTTCGACCCACGCCCCGGTGGCAAGGAACATCCAGGAACCAAACAATTGAAAGTCTGCTCCGTTAAGAAGTCGTGAAAGCTCCTGCAGTGGTTGTTCACGCGATATTGCAGCAATCAATGGTGAGCGGCCGTGCACACTGGGCAAACAAGAGCCCTTAGCTGCAGTTCACACGAGCAAAACAACTTAAAGAAACGGGCCTGTGCTTCGTTGTGGACCACACTGAGCCGACGATCCCCTTCCCCTTCTTGAGATGTTACTGCCGTGACAGGTTTCCCATCCCTTCCTGCCACACACCCACAGAGCTTTTCCGGAGAACCAGCAGAGACGAGCCCTGCAGCCTGAATGCCAACTGTAGAACTCAGGCGCCCCTGGCTTCGAAAACCGAAGTCCAAGCATGATTCAGACCTGCCTGATACGACGGACTCGTGTCGCCCCTTCAGCGTCCAGCAACCAAGCGAACAAAACAAGTCAACTCAGTGCGTCCTGTGTACATCGGGCCATGGCTGCTTCCTCCCATGCCATCTGCAGAAAGTGAAAGGGCAATCCGCCTTCAACTGCCAACGGCTCCTGCCACGTGGTGGCACCTGTTTCCACGGGCTCGGGCAGCTCCTTGGCACAGGAGCAAACGTCTCTTAAACCTTGACATGCTACGACTCTCGCGAACACCCACAGCTGTGCTGAGCTCCCCACACCCGGTTGCGGAAGCACACCGAGAAGCCTGACGCGTCGGGACTCAAAGCATTCGTGGGCGTGGCGGCCCAAGGAGAAATCCCCCTAAAGTGCTGAAGGCTGCACCTTGTTCCTGCAGGGGTTGTAAGCGGTCGCTCTGCTGCTGCACTCGCAGCCTTCACACGTTGCCAATTTTGCCAGTGCTGAAGAAAAGGTCGCAAAAATTATCGCGCACCA